CGTTTGGGTACCTCTCACGATAACGCCTAGCTGCGTCACTGGCATTACATCTACATTCCCCATAAATGAGGTGCAAGTGGGCGTCTTGGGAACTAAGGGAATATCACAGGGTGTAGATTTTCCAATTTTTTTTAAAATCTACAATTTGAAAAGTACACGACTCAGATTTTTTAATATTTATATTTATAAAACCAGTTATAAGATACGTAAACGGCATGATTTCTAAATAGCCATTTTATTTTGAGTCCTTATTTCTCATTAGTTTCAGACCATAACCAGTCAATGTAAGCTTAAAAATCTCAAATCAACTTTTGACAAGCAAGGAATTTTACACTGAATTCACTAAATCAGGCAATAGTTTTCCAAAATCATGACAGAACAAAGACAAATTTTACATACATGTCTGTTTATAAAAATTTTATTCGGATTCGTGTTGTGTGATATAATTGGTGACCTATTATTCATATTTTGTATTATATATATATATACAGGGTTACAGGAAAAGTCGTGCTAGATCCGTTAAGGGCGTGTAGTACCCATCATTTCTGACTTATTTCATTATGAAACACCCTACCCTAAACTTAACCCTTTTCGAGATATTCAACTTTTAATGTTTTTATTGAAAATTGCCGATTTTTAGGCTACTAAATGTATTTATTTTTATTTTGTGTGTGTTATTATTACTATTATTGCATTTTAACATGTGTAATAAGATGCTTTAGGACGTCAATCATTAAAATAGTCCATAAGTTAATTGAATAGGCTGTAGTAGATAAGTGAATGTTAAGAAATTGAAAAAAATATCAGAAAGTTTATTTTTCTCTAAGGGATATCTAACAAAAATATTATGGCAATTGTTCGGCAGATGTGTTTTAAAATATCTATGTTTTATCAGCTATCTAACGAGGTATAACAATCTAGGATTTTATTTAAATGCATTGAAAAAACTTAGTTTCATAGGCGACAGTGGAGAAGAAAATTGATACTTAGCCCTAAAAAGTAAAATAAAACAATAGGTAAGCATGAAATATCATTTATTAAATCAGGTTTTCACACAACTTTTTCTTACTCTACAGTTCATGTTCAACATGGCTGCCTCTGTTTCTAATACATTGTCGCATCCTTCTACGGAGACCAGTCTTTACAACTGCAGTGGTCAACGTTGTCCTTAGTTGATTTGCTGCATCGACAATCCTTTCTCTTAATTCTTCCACAGACGAAACTGGATTTGGCTCGCTGTAGACAAGACTTTTCATGCACCCCCACACATGAAAATCCATGGGGGTTAGGTCCGGACTTCTTGCTGGCCATGGCAACGGCCCACCTCGTCCTATCCATTTGTTTGGATAATTTGTGTCCAGCCAGTCTCTGACACTTCTCCTGAAATGGGCAGGGCAGCCATCATGTTGGAACCACATGTCCCTTCTCAAGTTGAGTGGCAGATCATTCAGCAAATCTCTGAAGTCTCCTCTCAAGAAGTTTTCGTAATTTTCCCCATTTAGATTGTCCGGGAGAAAGTAAGGTCCAATCAAATGGTTGGAGATAATGCCCATCCACACATTCACGCTGAATCTTCGTTGGGACCTCGCCACTCTTTTCTTATTGGGATTCCTTAGTACTTTTGGGGCCCAGTAATGGGCGTTGTGATAGTTAGTTATGCCATCGTTATCAAATTTGGATTCATCTGTCCATAAGATATTTCTTAGAAAATCTGGGTCTTCTACGTCAGCATTTAGCATAAATCTGCTGAAGTCCAACCTTCTCGCGGGGCTCCTTCTTCAATAGTGTGTACCGGCGTGTAATGGTACGGGTATAGGCCAGCAGTATGCACTGTAAACCACACTCTCCATTGCGAAAGTCCCAGATCACGGGCAACACGATTAGTGGAAATGGTCGGATCCGCTCGAAAGCGTTGCACTATCTCATTGTCCTGCAGTTCTTCGTTGTCATAAATTCGTGGTCTTCCCAGGTCTGTATTTCGTCTCAAAACAGAGCCAGTTTCTCGAAGTCTTAGATAAACTCTGTTAAAAACGGCCACAACCGGCACTCGACGACCGGGGAAGCGAGTTCTGTATTCGTTGCGAGCTTGCGCAGATACACAATCGCAGTATCCGTAACAAATAAGCATATCAGCATATTCCTCAGGTGTGTAGGACGTCATCTTCAACACTTCCGTATCACAAGTACAAATCAGAGTCCAGTGAACAAGCACAGTATTCACAAATCAGAAGAAATAGTCCAGAATCGTAGCCAAGTCGAGGAAAAGAGCAAAACGATATCACATCTACTATGTACGAAGCACAAAAGCAGACTGACAACCAAAACAACATCCCGTGTTGGATTTCCAGCCCTAACCGGTTATTATAATATGTTTTCTTTCATTCGCACCCACATTAAATCGTCATGTCTCGCTCGCACGGTGCGTCTAAACTTGAAGGAGAATAGGCGTGGGAACTGCTACTGGAGCGTCCCAACTACTTTTTTTCTACGAAATGTAATACAAATCCTAGATTGTTATACCTCGTTAGATAGCTGATAAAACATAGATATTTTAAAACACATCTGCCGAACAATTGCCATAATATTTTTTTTAGATATCCCTTCGAGAAAAATAAACTTTCTGATATTTTTTTCAATTTCTTAACATTCACTTATCTACTACGGCCTATTCAATTAACTTATGGACTATTTTAATGATTGACGTCCTAAAGCATCTTATTACACATGTTAAAATGCAATAATAGTAATAATAACACACACAAAATAAAAATAAATACATTTAGTAGCCTAAAAATCGGCAATTTTCAATAAAAACATTAAAAGTTGAATATCTCGAAAAGGGTTAAGTTTAGGGTAGGGTGTTTCATAATGAAATAAGTCAGAAATGATGGGTACTACACGCCCTTAACGGATCTAGCACGACTTTTCCTGTAACCCTGTATATATATATATATAGAGAGAGAGAGAGGGAGAGAGACAAAAAACATGTAGAGAGAGGTATGTAACAAATAGAAAAATTATGGGCAAAATCCGCAAAATATTTTCCCTCTCCATCTACGTTTCCTCAGGTTACACCCGTATCCAAATCTGTGGGCATGTGTATCTACTTCTGTAGTTGAATATTTGCATTTATTTCGGGCCTGATGGAGCCAACAAGCATAAATACGTATCGCTCGGGTTACCTATCCTATTTTCTGCTCGAATCCATTTTTCTTCTTTTTGTGGATTTTGACCATTATTTTTCTATTTGTTATATACCTTTCTCAGGATTATCCTTTTCTCTTTATTATATATACATATATATATATATATATATATACTGGTACAATTTCGTCGCCAGCTCATACACCTGACTTAAATCCACTCGATTTTTTTACTGGAGAGTGTTAAAGAAAAAGTTTGCTTAATGCCAATCAAAAATTTAACTGAGCTATGGGACAGAATAACAAAAGCAACTGAATTTGCTAATAACGGAAGATTTGCCCATCTGATTACTCATTTTTAAGATGTTAAGCTTGCATTGTGCTGAAGCAAGGCAGTTTGAACATTTATCGCGACTTTAATCTGTAGTAAATACATTCACGAATTGATAAAGGTTGTGTTATCTTGCTGTCACTACGTAGAATGTCCGTCACTCCGACTTTTAAATAAGAGCAAAGGTTCACCGGACCGCTCCGACGTACAATGACGAATAGTAGTAGTCTTGACCTATCCAATGTTATGTAAAAGGAGATAAATGTAATCAAGTTGTTATTTATCACTTAAGCAATTTGGAAGAAATTAAAAATATCTATGTATATTTGAAACAATAAATTTGAACACACTGAACCTCAGTAAAGAAGTCGTAAAATACCTAATTTGACCTTTTTCGTTCTATTCAATGAGATCTTATAAACCTAAATAACAGCATACGTATACAAAATTTTAATAAAATTAAAAACAATAATTGAAAATCAAAAGAGCACAATATCAATATCAACTAGAAATTTAGAAATTGAGCTCATTGTGTCTGGGTTATGAGGTTTATAAGAGCCTATCATGTTGCCTTTCATTCCTTTCAAATTCAACGTGATCTATCGGACCATAGTCGATGTTGCCCTAAATAAAAAATTTCAATACAAATACTCTGACTGACGACAGAAAGCAGATACTTTTAGGGAAAACGAAATTTGACTGGCTGTAGAAACAGATTTATGCAAGAGCCTGTTATGTTCACTTCGGCCAAATCGATGCCCTATTTTTAATGGAATTGGGCCGATAATCGAACAATAGAATAAAGGAAGTTAAGCTCCTCATACAGCTCAGTTGTTTGTCGTATTTAAAATGGCTATCAACAAGGTCAGATTTGTATACACCGCCTGTAAACTCTTCTTTTGAGTAATATTTTAACAACTTTGGATCTATGAACTTAAATTTCGTTTGGAGGTTGCTTCGACCAAAAGTTTTCCATATCTTCTTCTTCTGCTGGTGTCTATTCTCAATGTATGATGGCAACTACAAAGGTCCATCTTAAGTTAGCTATTTTGGATAGGTCGGTTGCTGTTAACTCTGTCTTCTATTGTCTCATGTTCTTAAGCCAGGATATGTGACAATGTTCTGGTACCTTATTTCCTACTATCAGTGATTACCGTCTTCTAGGTGTACTTTGAAAAAGAGATTTTAGTTGGGTGTCCTCAGTCATTGATTAACGTATTCCACCTGAGGATATACAATTGAAATAGGCATTAGAGAGGTGCCAAAATGAGGTTGAAGATCCTGGCACCATCTATGAGACAGTAGTCAAACTAAACACTATTTCTAAATTCACGTTTATGTTCTGCTACTGTCTCATAGGTGGCGCCAGGGTCTTTCAGATTGCTTTTTGGATCCCGGAATGCAGTACATATCTTCAGATATAGTACGTTAATCAATGCTTCTATATTTCCTTGTAATATATATTTAAGAATTCTGTACTTATCGTTGTTTCTCATTATGTATACAAAGTCCGTTAATTTCCTACATTTTAATGTGTTTAAGATTTCCGGCTCCTTGTGCAAACGTTGAGTAGCTGTGGCGTTAATAATATGATGAACCCATCATATTCCTGACATTCCACAATAGCACCATATTTCAAAAGCTTGTAACTGTCTGCAGGAGACTTCACTGACTGCCATGTCTCTGCGCCGTACATAAGGATAGAAGGTGAGACCTTTTTCATTTTCTGGAAATCACTTTTTGCTTTTACTTCCGACGTCTATAGGTGAGTAAGTATTGTAATCGCAGAAAAAATCGAAAATGAGATTATATTTTTTTTGATATTGACATGTACATTACGAAAAAACATGTGACTTATTTCCGTCGGTCGGTCTGTCTGTCTGACGGTCTGTTAGATAATCCTAATAATTTAATAATAGTAATAATAAATTAACTAGATCGTAAGAAATTTCAATCATCACGCTCTTCTTCCACTAATACTTTATGCCAGGGTAAAATGATTTTCATAGCGGCAAACAAAGATACTAGAGTGTACAAACGTTGACTCAGATACAGTTCATTTGTCCAGAACAACGTGGAAAGTACAGAGTGAATCTACTTGACGCAATTTTTTAATACAACATCTAATCCCATATGAGTGTACCCAGCTCTCTGTGGTATGGTATCCTAGAGAAGTTAGCTAGGTTTTTCTCCTGAATACATCGTTTGTTAATACATACTTATTATGCCTATAAAGTTTGTTGTCCCAAAATTTTTCATTTTTATATTAAGTGGTTACAAGTGAAAGAAACAGAAAACATGATAAACAAAAAAATTGTAAGTGAACAGCTGATATTTTCGAACATGCTAAGTGCTTAGGACTAGAGCAGTCTAAAGAAGCGTTATTGGTCGTTCAAGTAACTCGTTTCATTGTTCCTTATTAGATTGTTTAGTGAAAAAATTGGCTAGAGATACGTCTATGAATAAAGAAGAATGAGTTTTTAGAGTATAATTGGTCGATAGCTCCGTCAGTTTACAAAATATCTGAAAAGGTTATAAAATTAATAACTAAACGCTGCTTACTTGGAAAATACACCGCTCTCTACAGGCATTGATTAACGTATTCTACCTGTTGTTAGCCAACCTGATTCCTGAGTCCAAAAAATTGTCTGCGATAAAATGAGATCCCGGAATTTGTCATAGCTGTTTCGCTATTCACCATATATAATTTGAAAAGGTTAGTGTCTCATAGATGGCGCTACTATATGAGCATATACAAGCATACAGGTGGCTACAGGTACAGGGCCATCTATGAGATACTCGCATTTTCAAAGTAAATACCAAGTGTCAACGAAAACGTTTTACAAGGCATTATTCAGTTGCTGTTAAAAGAAGAACCTTGAAATTTTGTGTGAAGATATGAATTATAAAAACTCAAATTATCCATTCAAAAACAACTGAATATCGCCTCCGGTTTGATCGGAAGTGAGTATGAAACAAGAATTTATATATTTTTACTTACTCTTATAGAGCTTAAAATTCTCTTTTCAACGATATATCACAAGTTGTCATCCTTTTCCAAAATGGCGGCGTAAATGGAATTTATGCCAAATTAAGTATGGCGGCGTTTTGACAATACCTTTGGATTTTTTGCCAAACTACCCGCTTAAATAAAAGGCAAAATCGATTCTCTTGCAGCTTCTGCTTTGAGCTGGCAAAACAAAAAACATAAATTTGCGGCCATTTTAGTTTTTGCTCAAAATGTTAGAATGTATTTAAAATTTTCTCAGAATTTTGAATAGGAAACGGTGTTTTCTAAATACTACTAATGAAGTATGTCGGATTATCTCTGAATCAATATTCACTATAAGGAACTTGTCTTAGGGATAAAAAGCTTGAACATTTTGGAGAGCGATATGCATTATAACTCATTAGAAAATTAGTATTTCTTATTACCTAAGCACAGTAAATAGGTATTTACCTAGTCACGAGACAGAAAACATCTATGATTTTTATTTTTTATTATAATTATTTTGTTTTCTTTTCTTTATTTTAAAAAAACCAGAATTGTAATAATCAACAGGGACGAATATTTTACTGATTTGCACGGAGATCTTTCAATGCTAGGGAAACAAATGAACTGGAAAGCCTTTAAAATTACTATCAACTATCAGTCTGGTTTCCACGCGTCAGCATCATTTATTGTGTAATATTTTTTATTGTATTTGTTTATTTCATTTGAAATCAATTCAGTAGTTTACTGCTATAAAGTATAATGAATTATTTAAGAGATCATCAAATCGACATGTTTCTTATTTATGGTGAATGCCAAAAAAATTCTAGGCGCGCCGCAAGATTATACCAGGATCGGTTTCCAAATCGTCAAGCTCCGTCACACGCCTATTCTCCTTGGATCGTAGAATATTTGAAAAATGAACATAACGATCCTGTTAATGGTAATGGTGTTATAGTAGGCGAAGAAGTCGAAATAAACGTTCTAGCGTTCCTAGAATATGATCGAACTGCTTCTACTCGCTAAATAAGTGAGCAGTGCCAAATTTCCCACAGATGCGCAAGAAACAATTTTAGAGAAGCATAACTTTAAATCTTTTAAGTACCAAATTCATCACCATCTGCTTGAAAATGATTTTCCAAGAAGGATTAATTATTCCTCGGTGTTGGGTTAAGGAGAACCAAAGGCTAGTGAGAGAAGGTGCCTTCCAGGAACGTTTTGGAGTGAATTTTTGGTTAGGCGTAGCAGAGCTTAACATAATTGGTCCTATATTTTTCTATCAACCGTTAAATGGTGATATGTTCTTGGAATTTTTACAAAACCAAATAGAACATTTTATAGAAAATCTGCAGAACAACGAACATTGATTATACCAGTTGGATGGCGCCCCTGCCCACAGCTCTAGGGTTGTAACTAATTATGAACTTAAATGAGCGATACGGTGGAAATTGGCTAGGAACCAACCGAGCGATACGGTGGAAATTGGCTAGGAACCAACCGACCAATCCATTGGCCTGCAAGGTCGCCAGATTTAACTCCTCTGGATTTTTCAATTTGGGGCTATTTTAAAGAAAAAGTGTATGCCACTCCTCCACCGTCCCTAGAAGTACTGGAAAATAGAATTAGAACAGCCACTGAAAACATATCTCAAGAACATTTACGAAAATTGCTTATAGAAAATTTTAAATACATTTTGAAATTTTAGGTAAAAACAAAAATGGTCCCAAATTTATGACACTTTTTTGTATTGCCAACTCATTGTAGAAGCGGCAATAGAATCTATTTTGTCTCTGAAATTAGCTGGTACTTTGGCAAAAAATCCATAGATACTCTTAAAGCGCCGCCATATTGAATTTGGCATAAATGCCATTTATGCCGCCATTTTGAAAAAGAATGACAACTTGTGATACATCGTTGAGAAGGAAATTTTAAGTTCTATGCAAATATGTAAGAATATATACAGGGTCCTATTTAAAATTTTTGTTTCATACTCACTTCCGGTGAAACCAGAAGCGATATTCAGTTGTTTTTTAATAGATGATGTGAGTTTTTATAAGTCATATCTTCACACAAAATTTCAAGTTTCTTCCTTAAACAGCAATTGAATAGTGCCTTGTAAAACGATTTCGTTGACACCATAGATTACGGTATCTGATAACTCGGATAATTTTTCGAACGCGGAATTATAGCATTAGGTCGGCATCTTTAGGTAGAATACGTTAATCAGACTTACAGGGAGATTCACAACTACGTGGCATCACAAACATGTATCTTTTAATGGAATGTTCTGTATATTTTGAGAAACTGTGAAATGCCTCTTCAAAGTAAGACGTTTTATATAGTATATATATATATATATATATATATTTAGATCACTGCTTCTGGCAATACGGGATATTTTGTCCAAAAAAAAAACAGTATGTTCAGCACAAGTTAGCCTTTCTGAGAAAAAAGTTAGCTAGGAACCAAATCGCACGTATCGATACGCGACTGTTGGGCATTTTTCTAAATTTTAAGTGTAAATGTTCGGGGATATCTACAATAAGTGAAATATATGTACGGAGAACTAATGATTTTATATAGCCTACCACCTGCAACCCCTAACCCCAATTTTTAACCCCTACAAGACCCTACAGACAGACATATACCAACAAACAGAAATACCGACGGAAATCAGTGACATGGTTTTTCGTGATGTACATTGACATAAATACAAAAAACTTATCATCTCATATTCGAATTTTTTCGCGGTTTTCACCTATAAGCGTGGAAAATAGAAGCAATCGACTTTAACATAGTTTCTTGTCATTCAACCGTGTTTTTAGTTCATGCATCGTCTATGCAGGGTGTTTAAAAAAGCAAAATTTTCAGTTTCTCTGCATATTTTTGAGATCTGGTAGTTTACCTCTTACAAGCTTTATTAAGAGACATTTTTTGCATGACGGGTCAGGTTACTAAATTTTGAACTATTTGCATTTTCTCGGAAAATATATCTCAAAATAAATAAAAACCATATGATTCAATGAAAGTGTGCCTTCTAGTGGATGGGAGGATTTTAATGTCGGCTTGTGGGTACAAGCAGGAGCTTTTTCAAACAAGAAATCGTATATACAAAGTGCACTGTGTTATGGGTCATGTTGAACCATAACAAATAGCTGAAGTTTTGAACCGTGCCTAACATGTGGGTCTATAGTAATGCTATGTCTCTCATATATGTCTATAAATCAAAACTATATAGCTTAATATGTATATAGGAAGTGGATATAAACTGACTCGATCAGTCAGATGATGTGCTAAAGGATGCAAAACAAGCCTTAGCTTCCTGGTGTGCCACGGTGAGACACTAATGCTCATTGAAAGTTGTTTTTCCAGTGCTATTTGTGTTGTATCTCGAACCTTAAATGATGTGTGTAAATGGGTGATAAGAGGGAAAATTGAGCCTTAAATCGATCAACGACATTACAAAAAACATTGACAATCCTACGAAGAGCTTTTTCAGTCAAGTCACAACACAAAATGCCTACATTTGAGTATCCAAGGCTCACCTATACAAACTGGACGTATCATAACGTGGCTGTCCGAGCACCCCAGGCGGTCGTTGGCCAGCATCGGCGGCATGGTCGGGCGGTTTACCGCCCCCCCAGGCTGCCCCGAGCAGTGCAAGCAGGACGGCCGCCCTCAGCATGCCGTTCTACGTGCGGCGCCCGAAGTGTGAGACTGTGGTCGCCATTGGGCGGGCAGTGTGTCGCGGTGTCGGTCGCGGCGGTATGACAAGTGTTGTCGCTGCGCGGCGGATGCGGCCGTTACACTGACGACGCCTGACGTTGCTGCCGCTGGAACGGCGCCCCGCGAGGACGCTGGTTGGGACCGACGCGCACGCGTCAGTCGATGCCGCGAGGTCTCTACACGGGGTTTCGATGACGCCTCTGTTGCCACGTTTACAGAGACGCCTCACGATTTGCTACAAATGTTATTAATAAATTGGCCACAAAATGACGCCGACCGCTGGAGTTGCTATATTTACAGAGTTTTTAATGACCCCGTACAAGACATATGGAAAATGGTTGCCAGACGATTTGTCTAAAAAATCGATATGATATATTTATCGTCTTACTGAATAAAAATTCTAATAGGACCAAAGCAACCTTATGATCAGTTTCTGAGAAATATAGGGATTAAGCTTGCCTCATTCGCCAAAAATTGTGGATGTGCCGATTCTAGTTCTTTACCAAAACCCAGAAAATCAGTATACTGTTAGAAACATTTCGTTGCGCACCTTGTAGAAAAATATTGGAAGAGTCTATCTTGACCAGTATACCTGTACAGTATACTTACACTCAATTTAAGAGCATGTTGAATTTTATATGTTATCGCTGGAATAGATATGCACGAGTTGTCGAGAATTCAGAAAACTCAATAGAACAGTTTGCTTCTTAGTGGCACAGAAATGTCGTAGTTACGAGGCTTGTCCGTAAAATAAGTTCCACGGGCTGCCGCTGGCGCTAAGATCGTTTCTATGCACAGCCAGGCAACAGAGGCAGATTGTTTGGTTCCCCCACTCCAATCCCTCACCAAGCCAGCGTCGCTGCGACGTTTAGTCTTGGCTCAGCAGCCGTCAGCGATGGAGCTTCCTCTTGCGTCTCCCGCCAGCTGCGAGTTGCGGTCTGTTATTCGTTTCCTGGCCGCTAAGAAGAAATCGGCGAAGGAAATTCACGAAGAACTTTGTCAAGTGTATGGAGAAGACTGTATGAGCTGCGGGATGGTGCGCAGATGGGTCAGGGACTTTAAAAATGGCCGAACAGACGTCCACGACGAAGCCCGTGGCTTCGGTTTCCGACGAAACAATTGCCAAAGTCGAAGCGGCAATGCTTGAAGATCGACGGATTACAGTTCGGGATCTGTGCACAAAGATTCCGGAGGTCAGCAAAACCACAATTGACAAGATTTTGACTGAACATTTAGGCTATTCAAAGGTCTGCGCAAGATGGGTACCAAGAATGCTCACTGCAGACCACCGGCGGCAGCGGGTTGAAGCGGCCCAAGAATTTCTCGCTTTTCACGGAATAACCGAAGAGGAATTTCTGGACTCTATTGTTACTGGTGACGAGACCTGGGTACACTACACCACACCGGAAAGAAAGGAGCAATCGAAGCAGTGGAAGCACTCTTCTTCACCAAGAGCAAAGAAGTTCAAACAAATCCTGTCTGCCGGGAAAATCATGGCTAGCGTTTTTTGGGATCGAAAGGGCGTATTGTTGTGCGAGTTTATGACTCGCGGGACAACAATCAATGCTGACCGGTACTGTGAGACCTTGAAAAAACTTAGACGTGCCATTCAGAACAAGAGAAGAGGAATGCTGACGAAAGGAGTGCGTGTTCACCATGACAATGCCCGACCGCACACCGCCAATCGAACCACAGCCCTCATCGAAAGATTTGGATGGAAAATGGTGTATCACCCACCCTACAGCCCAGACAGCACCAAGTGACTTCCATGTCTTCCCTGAGTTGAAGAAAAACCTTGGCGGAACCCAATTCCAGACAGATGAAGAGGTGCAAAACGCGGTTGTTAGTTTTCTACACGGACACGCGGCAGAGTTCTATGACTCTGGTTTGAAGAAGTGGGTGCCTCGAATGCAGAGATGCATAGAACGCAACGGCGATTATGTAGAAAAATAAAAGAAAGACTGAACTTTCCAAAAATGTATTTTCTTTGCAATTAAACCAATTTTTTGATATGAAAAAAATTTGTGGAACTTATTTTACGGACACGCCTCGTATTTCCTTGTCTTGGAGTATAACCTGGTTAAGGTCATGTTTATTTTAAAGGTGAAAGTAGTAGCGCACATGTGTAAACATTGCTTTTAGTTGGTTTATCTGATCCACCTCCCTTACATAATAAATAAAACCACAGATGTTGAATGAAGTAGTTTACTGACGTTTCGACTACCTCGGAAGCCTTTCAAAGTCAAATTAATGACATGTAAGCTTATAAAATTGATAACTAATTAAACTTGTGACTTTTATTTATTTATAATTATCTTTCTTTGAGGCGACAGAGTTCATTTGTTTTAGTCGCAGATAGTGACTCTCAAACAATAACTTGAGAAGTACCGCTCAGATTTTGTTAAAAGTTTCACACAATACTACTACTAGGCCAAGGACGCAAGCTTTGTAGTCTTTTAAAACCGGTCCAGTAACGTCGAAAAAAGGTCAAAAACAAAAACAAAACATCTCTCACACTTCGTTCACGTTTTTTCACATGTATGAATAAAGACTCTTCAGAATTCGTTTTTTAAAGTTTCAAACCATTTTCAGAAAAAAAATGTATAAGGGCCAAAAATTGGGAGTTGGGGATTGTAAGAGTGAGGGAGGGTATGTCTTAATTTTCTGATGTTAATATATTTATACCCTGCCAACCTCGGTAATTCTACGCACCTATTACCCATATTTCACACATCATAGATTTTCCAATACATTTGCATTTAAAACAAAATAATAGAGAAACGTTTTAGATACGCATGCCGCTTCTGCTCTCTGTATTCACCGGCGGGTGTGCCGGTCTGGATGACTAATGGCAGACTTGGACAACGTTTCATATATTGATAATAAATAAATAAATTCTATGAGCCCATACAAAATAAGCTTTCTTGTCTCGATCGTTCTATAATATTATTTAAACTTTGATACCTCCCATTCATATTTTTAGTCCTAGAAATAGTGCTGAGAGGGTCTGGCAACATCGCTAATCACTATGTAGCGTTCTCAAGCCCATGGGTCATCAGCACCTCAATACGGCTTCAACAGCAAATTATATGAGAGGTTGTGGTTTCAGCGGTATAGTTTATAGATGATTTTAAATTTTAAATCTATGCAGGGTGTTCCAAATTCGACATTCACCAACTGTTATCTCGGAAACTGTAAGAGATACGAAGTCGCTTAAATGGGGGCAAAGCTGCGTATTTAGGCAATCAGCAAAATGCCGTTTAGAAAGTTTCGAAATTCAAAGGACCTCCGGAGAGAGACGGAAAAAACAGAATTTTCCCAAAATAGTTTTAATTATCTCCTGACTTTGATGGTAGTGGAATTTCAAAATAAATTATCCACGCCATACTGGATTTTTACGCAGATAAATAGTGTTTAATTCTGATTCCAAAAATGTAGTATGTCATATGTACATTGACGTTGCCAAACCTTTGTTATTCCAGAAAAACAGAATTTTCTAGGTAGGCTTTAAAATTATCAGATTTTGTTTCGTATACCAAAGCAGACTTCAAATTGCACATATCAACAAAGTTTGTAAGACTCAGAAGGAGAGAAATAAATCGAGAAGTGAACAACGTACAGTGAAGAGTCAGGCTTTGCCTAAAAAATAACAGACATTTTGAATATCTGCCATGAGTTACCTCTGCAACCCTCAATAAAATTTTCCTGTCGTGTTCAGGTTTTATCATACCTTTTTATTTCCTTATAATCTTCATCACCAATTCATGTCCAACTAAGGAAATACATCACTAAATTTAGGACTGAAAAGTCCATTCGAATGTACCAAATTCCAATATAGCGTTCATATGAAAATCAAAGTTGGTGAAGTCGAAAGAAAAAATGTGGAATTGAAAATTTTACTATAGTATCTTGTAGAGGAAAATAAGTAACAACCACATGCAGTTTATTTTGAAATCCCATCTGAAATAAAGCCAGGAAAAAATAAAAGTGGTTTTGGGATAAATCTAGTATGCGAAACAAATGACAATCTGATAATTTATATGTCCTAACTACAAAATTCTGCCTTTTTGAAATAACTAACGTTTCAATGTCAATGAATAACCTGTTATAAAATAAAGGAGAAAAAGTCGCAACGTTAATGTGCAAATTAATTTGGAATCTCACTATAAATAATGTAAAGAAAATAAAATGGTTTTGGGAAAATTCTCTCACTCCGGTAGAGTTGAGTTTCAAAAGCGGCATTTTGTTGGCTACCTAAATACGCAACTTGGTCTGCGGGATACCCTGTATAAATCCATACGAGTATATATACACGAATATATTATCCATATCCAGTCTGTTAGTATCACATCTAAACCACACTATGGAAAGACGTAAAAATGTGTACACTTATTGGTTGAAGCCCGACGAAGGTTTTATGCATGAAAATACAGGGTGTTCAAAAAGTATGTTTAATCCAAAATAACTCGAAAAATACGTTTCCTAGAGGTTAAAAATAAACAAAATTGTAAGGTTTGAAAAGATTCATCTAATGGTAAACTTAAATGTGACCTTCAAGGTCATTGGAAGGTCAAGGCAGTTTTCTCAAGTGGAACCCTTATTTTTGAAACCAGAAATGTAAAATTGACGTTGAAGTATATCTTTTTCAATGAGCTTGACTATGATCTTCATGCTTGAAGAGATTCATCTAATGGTGACATTGAACGTGACCTTTATCGATAACCTCCAAGATAATTTGGAAGTCAAGACAGTTTTCTCAAAAAGGAACCACTATTTTTAACACCAAAATAAAAATCGATAAACTTGACCATGACTTTGACCATTACGGTCATTTGAAGATCTAATGGATTTTTAACGAGCAACATCTATTTTTTTATTCCTAAAATGCGCATTGCGGAAAATTTTAAGTTTAAGTATACACTTGCTAATGAACCCGACCATGATCTTCAAGATAGGATAGATTTTCACGTAAATTTTCGACGATATAAAAACGCGAAACAATGAAATTCAGTTATTGTGACATAAATATGTTGGATACAAAATGTTCATTACCAAAGTAACCCTTACATTACGATAAATATTACATTTCTTTCTTGAAAACTAATCTCCTTCACACTTATTCTAAACCATTGATTCCCAAAGTGGTCTATATCGACCCCTAGGGGTCTATGACAACCTGCAAGGGGTCTACGTCAGCGAAAAAAAATTTGGGGGTCCATGAAATGAATATGGGGGTCCACGATAGTGGATCTCAACACATACACTGATAGTACCTATTTACTTACATCATACTATCTTATAATATCAAAACATATACATTATTTATAAAAGTACCTATGAAGTAAACAATGTATTATATATGTTTATAAAATTGGGTAAGTTGTAGGAGGTTGGTATTCGCTTTGTGGTCGCAATACATTTTGGACTTGTAAAAACCTGAGAGTCGCAGTCTCAGAGCTTCGCTACCTTGCACTGACTTGTTCAATTCGTCACTCTATAAATGCGAATGTGGGACAAATACGTTTATTCGTTTCCTGAATCATGAAAAGGAAAGTGCTAAGAAAATATTTTAAAAAATATAAACACATAGTATATCACACAAATTATAGTGAGTCAGTGTTATTTTGTTTGAGAGTGCTGGAGAAAAGTAAGTAGATTATTTTTTATTAAATTTTAGTTTTGTACTCGTAGTTAGCAAAGATTTATTTAAATTACGCCGATCATGACTTTAGTTATTAGTAGTTAAATATTCAATCATGCACAATTACACGAGTACTCCTCAATAGTTTCTTTTTGAAAGTTTTAGCAGTCGGTAATATAATTACAGTGCAATCTCCGTAATTCGAGCTAATTGTTGCAAGAAGATGTTCGAATTATGGAATGTTTTCGGAAAAATCAAAAAATATTTTTAATATACAGCTGCTGGATTTTCTGTCTTATTTAAATAATTTAATTTTGCCCACAGATACCTGATGCCATGTCCGAATCTAAAAAGAAATGTAGACAGTACAGTGTTGATTATTTGAAATTTGGCTTCATTCCATCATTGCCGCACAAACAATCGCCTATGTGTCTTTTATGCAACAAAGTTTTGGGCAATGACGCTATGAAACCATCTAAACTGCAAGATCATCTGAGAAGATGCCACCCTGATAAAACAGAGAAATATTTGAAATACTTTCTAACACTCAAAGATAAATTTCAGAAGAGACCTACACTGGACAGAATGTTCGCTTCGACGTCACAAAGAAATGATGATGGTTTGCGGGCGTCTTGCAATATCTCGTTACTTATAGCAAAATCCGGAAAACCGCATACTATCGGAGAGAAGGTAATTTTTCCAGGCGTTGAAGAGGTTTTAAAAACTGTTTTACACGAACCTGCATCTGATATCATTAAAAGAATTCCCTTAAGCAACAATACTGTTGAAAGACGTATTGATGAAATGAGTTCTGATATTGAAAGCTTCTTATGTAATTATTTGCAAACAACTCATTTCTCTATACATCTGGACGCATCAACTTTACCTGATAATGCAGCATTATTATTGGCATATGTTCGTTTTATTATGAATCAAGAAATATACGAAGAACTGCTCTTCGCAAGAACTTTGATAACCCACACTAAAGGTGAATCAATATTTCATGTTTTGAAGGATTACTTCATTGAAAAAGCAATTCCTTTATCAAATATGGTATCAGTAGCTACAGATGGAGCACCTGCCATGGTTGGACGTTATCGTGGATTTTATTTAAAACAAAATGTGTCAGGGGTGTTAGCAATACATTGCGTCATCCATCAACAACATTTAGTTGCTAAAAATTTGAGTGTTAGATTGCATGAATCACTTCATTTAGTCATTGATGAAGTAAACCGATTCCGAAGCAACGCGTTGAATACGCGGTTATTTGCGCAGTTGTGTGAAGAAAATGACGAACACTGTCATCAATTACTCCTTCACACTGAAGTACGCTGGCTATCGAAAGGCTTATGTTTGACAAGATTTTTTGCACTTTTTAAGACTATTTTAGAATTTCTGGATACTAAAGATAAAATTTTAAAAGAAAATTTAATAAAGAGGAAAACAGACATCGCCTATTTAACACCTTTGTTTACAAAATTTAATATGGTTAATTTGCAATTACAAGGCGACAGTTTAAATTTGATTAAAACAAAGTCCAACTTATCAGCGTTTCTTGCCAGAGTTAAACTAATGAAATAAAATATTGGACGGGGCGAATTTTATCAGTTCCCCAATTTGTCACAGACAAGCTGCGGAAGACGACGTTTCAACTTACATTCAACATTTAAATGCCCTCTATTCAGATTTTGAATCTAGGTTTGAGGATATTTTGACTATGGTAATACCACCGTGGATAATTAATCCATATGGTCACATAAAGGAAACGAATGTCATAATACAAGAGGAACTGACTGAATTAAGTACAAACGAAGAACTTAAGGTTCAGTTTAAAAACGGATATCAGCAATTCTGGCTGCAAAACAACATACCCGTTACTTATCCCGTATTATGGAATTTAGCGAGGAAATTTTTATTTCATTTCCATCGTCATACCTAGTGGAAAGGGGGTTCAGCGCTGTTACCAATCTCCTAACGAAAAAAAGAAACAGACTGGACATCATTAGCCGAGGAGATTTAAGATGAACCCTTACAAAATTGACGCCAAATGTTGATAATTTATTATTAAAGCATCAGGTTCATCCTTCTCACTAAAAATATTGACTTATTGCTTATGTTATTTTATTTATAGTTTATTTTATGTTTATTGGTGTCTGACCAATAAATGCCCGCATTGGAAATAAGTGCCCGCATTGATTTTTTTAAAGAACCCCCCCTTTATTGAAAATATTTTTTTTAAAATTATTCTGAAAATTCAAGGATAGGTACACACTAAAATTCGTTAATTTTTTGCCTATTTTTAGATAACTTAAACGTATAAGAACATACGTTTATGTTATAATTAATAAACGAACTCGCCTATTGTACTATTTTAAGTAAAAACATTTTTTTATTATTTTCCACTTTTTTTTATTTCATCCCTCTTATTTTTTTTTCAATGCGGGCACTTATTCCCAATGCGGGCACTTATTGGTCAGACACCTGTTTATTTAATATTACGTATATTTTGCATAACAGATACAAAATTTTAATTTGAGTAGTTTTAATTTAAATTCAATTAATAAATGTATAAATTAACATGTGTTTTTACTTTAAGTTTTTAACACTAAACTTCACTACAGTTAGAAATTTACAGGAAATCAATATCAGGTAAGTAGGGGTCTACCCAACACGGAAAACATGGCAAGGGGTCTACGACACAAAAAAGTTTGGGGAACTCTGTTCTAAACGAATGACCTACACATTACGTTACTTCCACGCGAGCCTCGTGTTTAGTCCAGTGTTTAATGAATTAGTTACCGTGCTATTTTTTTATACCTCTAGATGAAATGCCTCTTAACTTACTTATAAAAACATAATCCAGCTGTACAACCTAACCTCACATTTTTTCCAAAATTATAGAGCAATTGTTATTTTCTGTAATATTACCTTACTTTTTAACTCTTTTTTTTATTTTTTATTTTCTCATGTTAATCGGACAATTTCGGCGAATCAGCATGGCTTATATAAGGTTAGATATAATTGTAGTATATATATATAGACTTCTTCTCTACCTTTCCTTGGAGAGATGTCTGTTTCACTGAGGCGGATGCGTCGGCCTTCTATTCTTCGATAACGGAAACTATCCACATCGGAATGGAGGAATACATCCCTCACACAGTGAAAGTGCCTAAACCAGGGTCCAACGGCTGGTTTAATAAATCGTGTGACGCTGCTCGCCAGCAGAAGATCAAGGCACACAGAACCTTCTTACAAAAAACCACTATAGAGAACAGCACGACATAAAAGTTAGGCACAGGGTAATTTCGCACCGCAATGCCAGCCGGTCTTTCTGGACGCTGGCCAAGCAGATTGAAAAAACTTCTCACACAGCAGCCTTCCACCACTTACGTGTCAGGATGGAACGATTGTATCCAACTCAAAGGCCAAGTCGGAAGTGCTTGCCAAGATCTTTGCTGCCAACTCCACCATGCACGTCCCTCCCAACGCCCAAGTCAATTCAAAGGATTCCCTACACTATGATTTCTGCCATTGTAGGGAAGAGGTGTGTAGCGGAGCTTGTTCTAATTCTTTCGCGTCTCTTCCAGATATCTTATGAACCCGGGACCTTCGCAGGAAACTGAAAATTTGCTTATCTCCAACCAATCCCAAAAAAGGATCTAAGACCGACCCTTACAACTACAGGGCTATAGCTCTGCTCCTCTGCTTTCTGTTATAAGCAAGGTGATGGTGAGGTGCATAAATCGCGAGCTTCTGGACTACCTCGAACGTTACAGCTTGATTAGCGACAGGCAGTATGGTTTCCGGCACCAACGATCCACAGAGGACCTCCTAGCCTACGTCACACAATTGTCGAGTAAGCTCATCCAGTCTTATGGTGCGACTTATGTCGTTGTTTTGACATCACGAAGGCGTTCGATCAGCTGTGGAACGCTGCCCTCTTAAGCAAACTTCCTTCCTATAGCCTCCCAAAAAAGCTTTGCAGATAGTTGGCTGACTTTATCTCGGGCAGCAAGATATCCGTCCTAATTGATGGGTTCTCCTCTTCATCCCACAAAGTCAACGCACTCTACATGCAGGAATTCAGAGTGACAAGCCGATCTTTGCAGCTGAGCTAGAAAAAAGAAGACTAGCGACGACTTCCTCTCTGACAAGAGGCCTAGAGGCTATCACAACTTGGGGACGCAACAATCTTGTACAGTTTAATGCTTCCAAAACACAGTACTGTACTTTGACGAATAAAAAGCGTCCTAGCGCTCATCCGGTTTCGATGGATGGCCATGTTCTACCAAAGAGCCATTCATTTCGGCTGGTCGGAGTCCAGATCAGCGAGGACCCGATCTGGCACGAACACATCTCCTTAATAACGGCAGCTGCTGGGAAAAAGCTAGGCTCTTTGTTTAGGGCTAAGAAGTACTTTTCTCCGCATGACCGTCTCACTCTATACAAGACCCAGATAAGGCCTAGCCTCGAGTATTGCTCACACGTTTGGAGTGCTGCCGCCCCACCTACATTATTTATGCTGGATGCTGTCCAGAGGAGGGCGGTCCGACTGATCGATGATTCTTCTCTGCCAAACAGTCTCGAGACTCTTTCGCACCAGCGGGCTGTCAGCGATCTAGCTCTTTTCTACCGCTACACCCACGGGCTTTGCTCCTCAGAGCTCTCTTCCATGATACCGCCGCGCGATGTGTCTGCCAGACAGACCCTCCTGACTTTGGCGTCCCATCCTAACGGTGTCGAATTTCGTACATCCAGAACTGGGCGATACGACCGCTCCTTTGTCTCGAGGATGTCGAGATTGTGGAACAATCTACAAGAGGAAGCTTTTCCCAGTTCTACTAAACTTAAGCAGTTCAAAAATCGAATCAAACAAAGTTTCTTTGGGATCATCATAGCAGCCGCGGTGTTCCGGCATTTAGGCTTCTGCCTGCGCGGCTGCTTCGATATCAAAAAAAAGTAATTTGGCATGTTTCAAGCAACACTCCGCATCAGTTCTGAATGATCGCGGTCAAATTGATGTAGTCTATTCCAACTTTTCGAAAGCTTTCGACCGCTTGCATCGTGGTGTTCTATTGAAGATGTATTGTATAAATGCGGCTTAGCATCTAGATTTTTAGCTTTTTTTATTCGTACATTAGTGATGACATTTATGTGTGGATTTTCATGGTGATAGGCTTAGTGCGATTTTGGCTACATCAGTGGTGTTTCAAGGTACTGTTCTAGGTCCATTAATATATTTCATTATTACTAATGGTATTGTGATGGGCTTACGTTGCGACTGCTTGCTTCATGCGGGCAATTTGAAAAAAAATTATAACGTATGCGGCTTAGAAGAAGTTTTAAGTTACAGGCTGATTTGAATATCATTGATCGATGATGCAAAGAAAATGACATACAATTGAATGCCAATAAATGTTCTACTATGACATTTACAGGTATAATTGAACCGTCATATTTCACTTGAAGTTGGGCATTGTTCTTCGGCAACCTGATAATTTCAAGAATTTGGGTATTTTATTCGATCCAAAGCTTCCATTTGTTGACCACATTAATACAATAATAGCTAAAGTATATGAAAGTCTTGGATTTGTTTTCAGCAGCAGTACACTTCAATAACACTAATACATTAATTTTACTTTTTAATGCTTTTGCCAGACTTAGTTAAGATTGTTGTTCGATTATCTGGTACCCCTATGATATACAGTGTAATAACACTGAGAGAATCCAACGACGTTTTGTGAGATACCTGTGGTTTAAGGATGATCGAGAGTGTCCTGAAAGGGATATACTTCTAAGTAGGTACAATCTATCTATAAAAGTTAAACGTAGAATTCTCTTAGTTACTAAATTTTTATGTAATTTGTTGAATGGAACTGTTGGTTGTCGTTTTCTTTAAGACATCATCTCCCTACGAGTTCCCGGTTTACGTACTCGTCAGGGTAGTAACATTTCACTTTATTTAGCTGTTTCGCGGAAAAATTTATT